TTGCATTAGGTAATACCTAAGGCTCTTTTTCATTTAATAATCACTAAAATTACAATAAGAATCAGTTCATGGAAAAAACAAAACACCTAATCCCTAAAGTGCTTACAAATAATTTGTGATAGAGGTCTCAGTAATTCTAGCCTACCCATATTTCACAGAACAACTGCATTTGGAAATAATTACCTGTTTTGTTCCCTTGTCAATAGTGCTCAGATTCTTCCCTCGTTTAGTTTAAAAGCATTTAGAACACTTAGCCACAAGACAGGCAGGTAATGGATAGAATTTTCAAACATATTAAATTCCTACCTTGTGCCATATTGTGCTAGATGCTAAAGATAAAAAGTCGTGGCTTCTTCCTTCGATGACTTTATGATGACAAGCCTAGGGAAGCAAACCAGGAACAAGTGTCTGTAGTGCCATGTGATATGGAGAGGAGTCTGCGGACCTCCAGAGCACCTGCCAATTGCTTTGTCAGGCCAGGGTCAGGATGGAAGCTATTTCAGAGCAGGTGGCTTTTGAGTTGAGTTTTAGGAGAAAAAAACAAAAAAAAAACCAGTCAGGTAAAGAAATGTGATGCAGGATGTAATCAGGGTGTTCAAAGCAGATAGAACTTCATTACATGACTTATTATTTTTAAAGGTACGCTGACAATAACAGTACTCTCGAAAGCTGTAAGGCGTTCAGCATTGCTAGAGTGAAATGTCAGGCTGGGCAGGTGGGGGGAGGTCAGTGGAAGGAGACAGTTGTCCAGGCGGCAGCCAGGTTATTAAAGGTTTATATTTTGAGCTAAAGAGTTTGGCTTTCTGCCCTGAAGTACACCGACACAATGGATTACTAGTCAGCAATGAAAAGGGACAAATCACCAAAATATGCTACAATATAAATGAACCTCAAAAAAAAAATCTATAAAACAAAATAAATGAACAAACAAAACAGAACAAAGAACAAACTGATGTTGCTAGATGGGAGGGGGGTTGGGGACAGGCTGAAATAAGCGAAGGGATTGAGAAGTACAAATTGGTAGTTACAAAACAGTCACGGGATGTAAAGTTACAGCATAGGGAATATAGTCAATAATATTGTTATAACTCTATGTGGTGCCAGGTGGGTACTAGATTTATCAGGGGGATCACCTCATAAGTATATAAATGTCTAACCACTATGTGTACACCTGAAACTAATATGATACTGAATGTCAACTGTATGAAAAAAATACGCTAAGCGAAAGAGGCCAGAATATTCCATAATTTCATTTATATGAAACTTCAAGAAAAAATAAATCTATAGACAGGAAACAAACCAAGGCAGCCTGGGTCTGAGCAAGACTGATGCAGATAGCACTAGAGATTGAAGGTAGCCCAAGGGCTCGGGGTCGAAGTTCTGATGGATTAGGATGCACGGCATGGAAGGGGTGTGGAATGGAGCCGGTCCCGGAGCCCACGTGTCTTTGTGCAAACCCAGCCTGGCTTTCTAAATGCCCCCAGACCTCAGGCAGGACCCTGCTGGGCGGTGCTGCAGAGGACAGTGTTTCTAAAGCCAGCTTTACACTCTCATGTGCTTTTGAACATCAACCAGCTTTGAGAAACACCTATGTAGAAGGAAAAGAATATTCTGGATTCAAACAGACTGAGGTTCAAGTTCCAGCATAGCCACTTCCAAGCTGCCTTTTAAAAGTTATTTAACCTCTCAGAGCCCCAGGTTTTAATATATAAAAATATCAATAATCTTACTCTGTTCAGGAAGCTGTTGAGAGTAGGTAATAACACAGGTAACTCTCCAGCAAAGTATATATCCTAATTTAGATTACACATTACGTTTCTGCGTCATTATTATCATAACCGGTCAGGCCTCAGTTGCCTCATATCTGTAAAATGGCCCCAGCAAATAGGAGTCCCTTCCCATCTCTAACATTCGATATCACTGTCAGATCACCAGCTAAATGTTACATTTCCAAGAATGTTTTATATGTTCAAGGCTCTCGCAGAAGTGATTGCCCAAAAAGGCTTAATAGAATTGCTCATTCTTTCAACACTGGCTTATCTGGAGCCTGTATTCAGGTTATGCGGTGTTTGAGGGGCAGGTGTTGATCCAGACTAGAAGAGCAAGACCACCAGTGGAGTGTTTCCACCGTGAAAACTCCAGGTGTTCGCAGAAGGCAGAGGCAGTGCCTCCTGTAATTTGAGCAGCTCAAGTGTTGTGTTCTGGACACCATGCCCCTTGGATCAGAGTCGGGTACATACATGAATTACCAAAATCTATTCAGGTGAGGGTTGTATCTTTTTAAAATAACTCAGATATAACCCTGCTTGATGATTCTCTGACTTTCCGCACTGATCTAGCCTTTGTTAACTAGCTCTATTAATACAAGTCACTTCCAGTCCACACCAGGAAGGTGGAAGGCAGGAGTTTGAATAGAACTGATTCATTCTTTACCATCCTGCACTATCTTTCCCACTGACCTTTTCCTGTTCTCATTACTCCAATTCCCGAGAACGAGCATGTTCTATGGAACAGTTAGCCTTCTCCTCTGTCTTTTTTATATTTAAGTGACTCCATTGTATAACAACTCTGTAAGAAAAATACTGCTCCCCATTCTTTGGTAAACTAAAGACAAGAAAGTGAATTGAGTTTCTGAATACAGAACAGTCCCAGCACAAATTACAGCTGCCCATACTATTTCTGCCCCTTGACATACATGCTTCGGTCACTTTTCTTGAGTCTTCAAGGGGATGCCAAGCTGGTTCGGAGGCAACCATTATTCTCCGATGAAAAGCTCCTGTGACCTCCACTTCAGGCATTAGAAAACTTATCTATTTCTCACCTCATTCTTCAAAGGAGTGAGCTAGCTTTGGAACCTAGCAGGTAAGAAGTTAAAATGCATTCCATTTAAAAATACGTTTTTCCTTTGTAGCAGAAATTGACTCTTTCCCTTCTGAACTGACCCACCTTGTTGGAATGAGAACACATCAGAGGCATAGATTTGAAGACCAGCTATTGAAAACCAGGAGAAAATTAAGGAATATGGGGAGTGTGGCCTGGGAGGTGTAAATCAAAGCCAATCTGCATACGTGCTACATAACTGATAATGAACCACTTACTGGTCTTGCAAAAGCTCTAATGAAATGGCTGCTTTCTGCTGCATTGACTATTCAGCTACTGTTAAAATGTGAGCAATTTAACTTTTACACTTTATTCACCAATAGCAACTAATTACTTTTTCTGAAGTTGGTAAAAGTGCCCAGCAGGGCCAGGGGCTAGGTTATACAAAATGATGAGGTGGACAGTTAGTTGATCTCTAGCACCGCCAATAGGTTTTTAAGGCTGTTTTCTGTTTTTATTCCATTTTCTTAGTCACTCCTCATTCTTCCTCATGGATCACGACTTTCATGTTCTTTCCTTCTATCTTCATCAAAATCTGCTTTCAGAAATAGACCTGACAAATTAAATTTTACTAAGATGTTTATAATTAGTAACAGTTTCAAAGGTCTACATTTGTATAGGTATTTATGTTTTAATAAGAACTTGAATCTCAGGCTACAGCAGTAGCTGGTAAAGAGGAGTGAATGTCAGAATCACATGTAGAGCCAGGCCAGTGCATGCTTTTCCTGCTCAGAGATCCTGATTCCACAGGTTTGACTGTGCCACATCTGGCCTGGGAAAGTGTGTGTGTGTGTGTGTGTGTGTGTGTGTGTGTGTTGCACGTGCTCAGGCTCTCACAAATCTCCAAAAGAGATTCTGATGCTGACCTTCAGTGGTAAACCTCAGCTAAAGGATGAAGAGCCAATAGCAAACTTGCTATCATTAATCAGTGGTTGTAACTGATTGGGCAGCTGATGGAGCTTTGACATCTCACCAATTAAAGAATCGTTTCTTCTATCTTCATGTTCAATGAACTTGCTAGATAAAAGAAAAGACAAATAGGGTACAGATAGACAGACACATTACTTGGTGTTTCTCCAAGTAGTTCATGACACAGGCATTAGAATCTTCCGGCGTGGTGTTTAAGCTAAAGTATCAAGAGCCTTGCTTAGAACATGATTTGGAATATTGAAAGGCAGAGCTAAGAACTATGACTTGGAAAAAAATGCTCCTTAGGCAACTTAAGGTGAAGAACCACTAATGTAAGTGTTAATGGTTTCCTCAGTAATTATTTTGTTATGCTGATTATATAGAAATTATAAAATATATAGTGGTCATCCAAGATTACCTATTGTTATTAGTTTCATAATTTCCTCTCAATAATTTTTGTATATAGTACGATATATAACTTTACAGCTATTATCATGTTAATACTATTTTAAAGTCTTTTTCCTTGTCATTAAATAGCTTGTAAAAATTGTAATTTCAATGGCTATGTATTCTTTCATTATGTGAATATAACTAACATTTTGCTAAATTAATCCACATTGTGGACATTTAAGCTGATTTCCAATTTTTGCTATTAAAAATAAATGATATAATAAATAACTTTACATATACATGTTTGTTTTTCCTCTAAATCTTAGGAAAATAACTGCTGCATAAAAGGTTTTGATAAGAGCTAAATGTTTATCCTTGGGCTAAAGCAATGTGCTGAACTGCTCTTGTAGTTGGATTATCAGCAAGAATTAAGTATCGGTGATTGGAATGAAACCAGGATTTTCCTAAGGACAATACAGTACTTTAATTCAAAACAACTTACCATGGCCGTAAAGATGGTCCTGCTAGACTGGAGCTCAGGAGAGTACCTCCCGGGGCCGGTTGTTCTGGTCTGCCTGGGACTAAGAAGCTTCCTGGGCTGCAGGACTTTCAATGCTACACCCAGGTAAGCCCCGGGCAAATCTAGACTGTTGGTCACCCTGGTTGGAATCTGACCTTCGCGCTGATAAAGCATCCACAGGAATTTCATCTGGGCTTGGTATGAGTATACTGTGTAATATGATAATAGCTCTCTCGCGGTGCTTTCTTCCACATTTTCTCCACTGGAACACCAGAGAGTCAGGTAAAAGTGCTCACGCTTTATGTTAGAAAACAACACGGGTGAGTTGAAAGAACTGAACGAGGACTCCAGCATGACCAGCGGAGGAAGAGATACTGCGCCCCGTCCACAAGCCCATGCGGCCTCCGTGCAGCCGCCCTCCTGTCCACACCCCGGCCCTCCTGTCCACGCCCCTGCCCTCCTCTCCACGGGCCCGGCCCTCCTGTCTACCGCCCCAGCCCTCCTGTCCACCGCCCCGGCTCTCCTGTCCACGGCCCCGGCCCTCCTGTCCACCGCCCCGGCCCTCCTGTCCACGCCCCTGCCCTCCTGTCCACCGCCCCGGCCCTCCTGTCCACGCCCCTGCCCTCCTGTCCACCGCCCCGGCCCTCCTGTCCACGGCCCGGCCCTCCTGTCCACCGCCCCGGCCCTCCTGTCCACGGCCCGGCCCTCCTGTCCACCGCCCCGGCCCTCCTGTCCACGGCCCCGGCCCTCCTCTCCACGCCCCGGCCCTCCTCTCCACGGCCCGGCCCTCCTGTCCACGGCCCCTGCCCTCCTGTCCACCGCCCCGGCCCTCCTCTCCACGGCCCCGGCCCTCCTCTCCACGCCCCGGCCCTCCTCTCCACGGCCCGGCCCTCCTGTCCATGGCCCCGGCCCTTCTGTCCACCGCCCCGGCCCTCCTCTCCACGGGCCCTGCCCTCCTGTCCACCGCCCCGGCCCTCCTGTCCATGGCCCCGGCCCTTCTGTCCACCGCCCCGGCCCTCCTCTCCACGCCCCGGCCCTCCTCTCCACGCCCCGGCCCTCCTGTCCACGGCCCCAGCCCTCCTGTCCACCGCCCCGGTCCTCCTGTCCATGGCCCCGGCCCTCCTCTCCACGCCCCGGCCCTCCTGTCCACCGCCCCGGCCCTCCTGTCCACGCCCCGGCCCTCCTGTCCACGACCCCAGCCCTCCTGTCCACGCCCCGGCCCTCCTGTCCACGCCCCGGCCCTCCTGTCCACGCCCCGGCCCTCCTGTCCACGGCCCCTGCCCTCCTGTCCACGGCCCCGGCCCTCCTGTCCACGGCCCCGGCCCTCCTGTCCACGGCCCCGGCCCTCCTGTCCACCGCCCTGGCCTTTCTGTCCACGGGCCCGGCCCTCCTCTCCACGCCCCGGCCCTCCTCTCCACGCCCCGGCCCTCCTGTCCACGGCCCCGGCCCTCCTGTCCACCGCCCCGGCCCTCCTGTCCACCGCCCCGGCCCTCCTGTCCACCGCCCTGGCCCTTCTGTCCACGGGCCCGGCCCTCCTCTCCACGCCCCGGCCCTCCTGTCCACCGCCCCGGCCCTCCTGTCCACGGCCCCGGCCCTCCTGTCCACGGCCCGGCCCTCCTGTCCACCGCCCCGGCCCTCCTGTCCACCGCCCCGGCCCTCCTCTCCACGCCCCGGCCCTCCTGTCCACCGCCCCGGCCCTCCTGTCCACCACCCCGGCCCTCCTGTCCACGGCCCCGGCCCTCCTGTCCATGGCCCCGGCCCTCCTGTCCACGGCCCCGGCCCTCCTGTCCACGGCCCGGCGCACTAAGTAGAGCCATGGGGAAGAACTTGCAAACTCACCTCCTCCCCTCAGTGGCCTGCTGGCTTCTCAACTCATTTAAAGCTAGTTCTTCACCTCTCATCTGCTCTTTATAGTACTAAAAATTCATTAATGCCAAGCAATGAGGCAGCGATCTAACTTAAACAAAATAAGAGAATTAATTTGCGGGGAAATGGAATTACCTCAGAGACTTCCCCTAACGCACAGTGCGGTGCCTTCATTTCCATTTCGGGCGACCGTCAGGAGAAGGGCAGCTGCTTCTCTGATTCCGCCTAACGCGCCACATTACAGAGAACACGGGCTCTTTTCAAGTCAGTGGTGCCTGGAAAGTCAGAAAACCAATAGCACAATACCAATCTTGACTCCGGCCTCTAATTCCACATGACTGTAAGATCACACAGTAGGCCCAGTGTATTGATGATTAAAATAATACGAATTTTCAATTATGGAGGCGATGGACTGTATACATTCTGTTCCAGTTATACTGAACTTCTTCAGGATAGTAGCTGTCCACTGCTGATGAGCAGGTTTCTTGTGGATTTGAAGCAAATGTACACATTTAGAAGAACTTTAAATAGTATTGAATAAAATGATTTACCTTATCATGTCCTCTTTACTTCAGAAAACTGAACATTTCACTTTGAAAGTTAATGCAGTCATTCCTTCATTAAATATTAATTGATCACCAAAAGTATGGGTGTGGTGACAGAACAATTAAAACCTTTCTCCCTCAGAACTTTACAATCTGGTCGGGAGTCAGGGAACAGAAGACCGATACATAATGGCAAGAGCACCCCCCAGAAAAAGGAGAAGGGGCTACTAATTGAGACGGCATGACAAAAGAGAGTTTCTTCGAGGTGGTGGTGCTGAAACAAAGCCACAGAAATAGCTGCACCGGCGAAGGGCAGAGTAGGAGTCAAGGCTCTAAGGTGGGGACGGCTGTGAACTGAGTGCAGGGAAATGAGAAAGCCCCTGGGAAGTCTAGAGCAGAGGAATGGTTTGATCTCATCCATGTCATTCAAGGCGGCCTCCCTCTGCCTGCGGGGAAAGACTAAGTCCTTGGGGAGTCAGGACAGGGGTTGGGGCAGAGGGAATTCAGACAAATACTCTCACACCCTTCTTGGCAGTTGAAGGCACCACTGTTCATGATAGCATTATTTATACTTACGAACCTGGCTGCACATGCTGTCTGCGCTTGGTTGCTTTGAGTTTCTTGTGGTTCTATTTTAATAATTCTCTTACTCTTCTACATAGTTGTACACTGTTTGCAGAGCACAGTGCTCTGGACAGTGTGGTGTTACAAAAAAAAAAAAGAAAGAAAAGAAAAGACTGTGGGGTTCTCCCTCTCTTCTCAGATGTCTGATATTGAACACAATAAAGTGCCCCCCACCATAATTACCGCTTGCCAGTTCGGTTTTTTTGTTTTTGGTTTTGTTTTTGTCTATTTTGAGCACTCTTTCACACCTTAGAGTCTCTTGAATGCCGTCGTATTTGATAGATGTACAGCTCTGAGGAGTTGACTCTAAGTCAAGTTTAGGATTTCATAGGCCTAACATGTCTGAAAATGTCTTCCTTCTACCTTCCCAGTTAAATAATTTTACTGGGTGTATTACTTTCCTATTGCTATGAAACAATATTATCACAAACTTAGCAGCTTAGAACAACACCGTTTCTGCAGGTCATGAGTCTGGGCACAGACTAGGTAGGTCTTCCCAAAGCTGCAGCAGGGTGTTACTTTGGGCTGCAATTTCATCTGAGACTTAAATAGAGAAGGACTGACTTCCAAGCTCACACAGGGTATTGGCAGGACTCAATTCAGTTTCTTGCTGGCTGTAGCCAGAGACCATCCTCAGCTCCAAGAAGTTGCTTGTCATATGGGGTTTCCCCACATGGCTGCTTAGTTCCTCAAAGCTGGCAAAAGAAAAAGAGACTCCAACAAGACAGGCTCTACGATTTGTAGAACCCAAGCAGGCATTCATGTACATCCCATCACCTTTACCACAGTCTGTTACTTAGAAACAAGTACAGGTGCTACCCATTCTGAAGGGAAAGGCATCACCCAAGGGCAGGAACACTAGGAGTCAGGGACCATGGCAGCCACCCTGTCTGTCCACGATACTGCCTTAAAGAATTCTAGGTTAAAAACCAGTTTTACTCAGAACTTGATAGGCACTACTCCAATCTCATTTAACATCCAGTGTTGCTGTTTTCATTTTATATATACAGTGAAACCTCAGTTCTCAAACTTAATTCCTTCTGGAAGTCTGTTCTAGAAGCGACTTGTTAAAAAACTGAATCAAGCCTGGCCGGTGTGGCTCAGTGGTTGAGCATTGACCCATGCACCAAGAGGTCGCCAGTTCGATTCCAGGTCAGGCCACATGCCCAGGTTGTGGGGCCCATCCCCAGTGGGGGGCATGCAGGAGGCGGCCGATCGGTGTTCTTTCTCATTGATGCTTCTTTCTCTCCCTCTCCCCTCCTTTCTCTCTAAAAATCAATATAAAAAAATTTTTTTTACAAAACCAAACTGAATCATTTTTGTTTTCCCTTCAAAACAATGTAAATAGAATTACTCTGTTTCAGATCCACAAATAATTCCGTTAGAATCTTTCTTATATACAGTATATGTCTAATGTACTGTTTAATTTATAAATAAACACTTATTTTCTCAAATTTATGGAATCACCCCTACCAGCCTTATTGAATCACTTTCAGCACTCATTCCAGGGGTGTCTTTCCCAGGGGTGTCTTTCGAGGCCAGTGTCAGTATCTCTGCTTTTTCACATATCACTGCCCCTGAAATGCTATTACCAGCTGTTTTTCATTTACCCAAATCAACAATAGTTTTCCTATCTCTTCAATTGCCTGTGGTTGTGGCTCTGTGAGCACTTTCACATCCTTAGCAACATTAGCACTCTTGATGGCCTCTTTATGTTTTAAAATTGTGCTGCTAATCATCGATTTCGCCAGCAACAAAAGCATTCTCTCCTTTGTTGCCCGACAGACACACTTGCCATGCATGAAAGGGTTGTCAGGTCAAAAACTAAAGTTTGGTCAACAACCAAGACACCCCCCCCATTCTACACCCCCCCCCCCCCCCCAAGAACCAAATTGTTCAACATGGGAGACGAGACACTGGAGAACCGAGGTTTGACTGTTGTGGGCCTACCCACCTTGGGAAGCTCCTAGGATCATCATTCTAATCCCTGGTGTTCTGAAATCCTGTGATGTTTCTAGATACGGGTTTTTATTAGTTCCATTTGGTAAGCTCTTTCAATCGGAGACTCGTGTCTTTGTCATCTAGAATGTCAATGTTTTTTCTTTGATGATTTCCATGAACCTTTTATTATTCTTTCACTGTCTTTGTTTCTTGGATATATTATATTCTCATTGAGATTAATGATATTTTTGAAGTTTTGGTTTTGTTTTGCTTTGCACTTTCTCTATTGTCTTTCTTCTCTGCTCCATCTTTTATTGATTTTGGTCTGTAAGTTTTATGTTATAGGTTTTCCTTACATGAGATTCTTATTTCTTTGTAATCAAGAATAACACACTAAAGATCTGACAGGAAGCTCTGTGTGAATGGACAGAGTATGTTGACTGAATCTGGGGTGGGCTCAACTGCAGGTTACTCCATTATGCCTGGTGTCATTGAATCCAGAGACTCAACTTGGAATGAGGATCAGAAAGTCTACTTGCTTTGTAAACAACTTTCAGTCAATCCGCCTGCCATGAGGTAGCCTCCTGCACCTTCCATTCCAGAGGTCGTTGAGGCTGGGCTCTTCCGGAGTTCTGCAGGGCTCTTCACCTTGCTTCTCATGCTCACCGCCTTCCCCAGGCACTGACGTTTGCGTTTCTTCTGCTGGGTCAGTGGCCACTCCTCCTTTCATTCTTCATCTTCCAAAACTGTGTTTCTTCTCTCGTATACGGTTTCTTCTCCTCATGGGTTGGTATCTTGTTTGTTTGTTTTAGTCACTTACTGCCATTTTAGGATGGAACAGAGACAAATGCATACGTTTAATTAGACATATTTATGCATGTCACTCCAGACAACAATCAAAATAACCCAGTGACTCATGAAGGTCATCCCCATTGCCTGATAGATTCTATCAGTAAGAATCCTTTTCAGGAAAGGAATATAAAGGAATCACTGCTTCATTTGGGAAATAGTAGTAGAATTTTATAATTTTTTTTTTAATCCTCACCCGAGGACATTTTTCCATTCCCTGTTCAGATAGAGTAGGAGGAAGAGAGAGAGAGAAACATCAATGTGAAAGGGACACATCGAGTGGCTGCCACCCGCACGACCGAACCAGGGCTGGGGACAAACTGCAACCGAGTTACGTACCCTTAGTGGGAACCGAACCTGGGTCTTTCTGGACCAAAGGCCGACACTCCAACTTCTGAGCCAAACTGACCAGGGCAGTAGTAGAGTTTTACACAGTCAATTCAAACTCTCACTATGACACTCTATTAAACAATTGCATGTTTCTGAGTGTGCACTAGAATACTCACATTTGTGTTTACTTTCTTGCAAGCACCAGCATATAAAATATTTACTAAAAACTATCAGTGACACCTTATTTGTCACAGATCTGAATGATGCTCAGATTATTGTAACACTCCATGATTCTGAGTACCTAATAAATTGTTATCCAATATGTTCAAATTCTGGACATATTGAGTCATATATGATAGGATTGGCCCACTGTCTTTTCTTGCTTCATGACCCCTTCCTTAAAACACCAGGATCTATCTGTGTTCCTCAGCAGGTTAACTATTAGCCCACCTATATCATAGGGCCTTAAACCTCATTACTAAGTATCAGTGGTAGAAAGTTACAAGGGAACAACATTTTTTAATTCAATATTTGCAACTGAATATTTATTAAAAATAACATTTTTATTACACTTGGTTAGTAGAGAGACTAGTGCCCCCCAAACATGTCCATATCTGTATCCCCAAGACCTGTGTGTTATTTTACAAGGCAA